TTGTTCTTGTGTTTCTTATAGTTTTGTCTGTTTCTAAAATGATTTTTTTCTATCCTTTTTTTTGAGTTGGAGTCTCACTCTGCCGCCCAAACTGGAGTGCAGTGGCACAGTCACAGCTCACCACAGCCTCGACCTCCCGAGTAGCTAGACCACAAGCACACACCACCACACCTGGCTAATTTTGTGTGTGTGTGTGTGTGTGTGTGTGTGTGTGTGTGTGGAGATGAGGTCTGCTTATATTGCCCAGGCTGGAACTTCTGGGCTTAAACGATCTTCCTGCCTCAGCTTCCCAAAGTGCTGGGATTACAGATATGACGGACCCTGCCCAACCTATTTCTTATCTTTTTCATTTCTGATTTATGCTGCTCTTTTGCAGTGTGTAAAGATTTCTTAGTTCCTTTGTAATATCATATTCTTGTCGGCTTCATCTGAGTTGTGGCTTTGTTTGTGTGGTGTGCCCTTATTAGCTTGGGTAGTTTTCAGTTACTCATATTTGTGTTCTTCTTATACTGTGTTCATCTGGGATTCTGTCGCTCTAGTTTAAGTGGATGGCCTTTGCTGCGCTTTCAAGACAAGTTCCTGGAGGAGCTGGGAGAGGGTGAGGGCAAGTCGTATTCCCCTGCAGATAGTTACCTCCAGTGACTCAAGCCTGGCCTCTCTGGGTAGCCACTTCCACGGCCTCTCTGGTTCTGAACCATCTTTCTCTTCTCATCCCCAGTTCCCTGCCCTGTTCAGTTTGCCCCCTAGTATAAGCAGTTTCTTCTCTGAGTGGGTCTCTGTGCTTCTGGAAGGATGGTTTTGGTGAGGTGTTTCTGAGACTCCCCTGCAGACCCTAAGTGGATTCCTGTGTCTGTTTCTGTTTTTGCCAGTTGGAATCTATGGAGCCTTCTCTGTCTCACTGCTCCCCTTTTTACTGAGAATTCAACACAAAGTAGGGTCTTCCTTTCTTTAAATTTTTTTGTAGAGACAAGGTCTCACTATGATCTCAAACTCCTGGACTCAAGCAATCCTCCCGCCTCGGCCTCCCAAAATGCTGGGATTACAGGAGTGAACCCCTGTTCTTTTTTTTTTTTTTTTTTTGAGTTGGAGTCTCACTCTGTCACCCAGACTAGAGTGCAGTGGCCACTCCTGGCTACCACAGCCTCGAACTGCTGGGCTCCAGCGATCCTTCCGCCTCAGCCTTCCAAGTAGCTGGAATTACAGGCGCGCGCTACCATGCCCGGCTAATTTTTTTTTTTTTTGATTTATTGTAGAGATGAGGTCTCGCCAGGTTGCCCAGGTGGGCCTCGAACCCGCAGGCTCAGGCAATCCACTCACCTCGGCCTCCCAAAGCTCTGAGATTACAGGCTGAGCCACTGAGCCCGGCCCCCCTGTTCTTTTTTAAGGGGCAGCCACTTCTTGGAGATTTTTGTATCTGGCACTCTTAGGGCATGAGAACCCCACCCTCCTCTTCCCTCTGTGACCTCCACCCAGTGGCAAATCTCACATGGGTTCCACAGGTCCTGCTGATGGTGCTGGTGTGACCCCACACCCTCATATCCTGAAGTTCGAGGCATACCGTGTGGCCTGACTTTGTTGACAATGTGGTCAGTATGGGTGTTCTTTTGCTGTCCTTGTTGCCCTATTTTTCTGGGAGAATTTAGGGAGATTTTAAAAACTATGCCTTCATGCTGTTTCTCATTGCACTCACCACCCTCACCCCACATACATCCTCAACCTTCCCTTGTACTAAACTGACGGCTCAGCTAGCTAGCGGCACACACCCTTTTCTTTTTCTTTTTTTCTTTTTGAGTTGGAGTCTCACTCTGTTGCCCAGGCTAGAGTGCAGTGGCATGCTCACGGCCACCGCAGCCCCCACCTGCTGGGCTCAGGTGATCCTTCCTCCTCAGCCTTTCAAGTAGCTGGGATTACAGGCGTGAGCCACCACACCCAGCTAATTTTTTTATTTATTGTAGAGATGAGATCTCCTCCAAGTTTCCCAGGCTGGTCTCAAACACGTGGGTTCAGGCAATCCTCTCACCTTGGCCTCCCAAAGTGCTGGGATTACAGGCGCAAGCCACCACACACGGTCCAGAGGTGCTTTTAACAACCACGTTGCCTTCTGCAGAGTTGTGGACATAGCATGAGATCTTCTTTTGAAACCTAAAGAGAGCGCCAATGCAGTCCCCCACTACCACAAATTATGCAGTTGAGTTTCGCACATTTGGGGAAATCACAGGGGTCAACACATCCGGAATACAATGGTTAAGCCTCGCCCTGGGAAAACCATCTTCGTGATCATGGTATCTCCCCTGTCATCTCACTTGGTTGGGCAATAAGTTGCTCAGACCCTCCTGCCTCTGCTGTCCCTTACTGCTGAGCATCCCTTGGGCTCCCCAAAGGGATGTGAACGTCATTTATTTTTTGGTCATTCATTTGGTCCACATATGTTTACCAAGTGCCCTTTGTGTGACTTGTGCTGTGCCTGTCCCCAGCCTCCAGCCCGGCCTTCATGTTCTCTGTCTCTGGTAGAGAGAGATGACTGTTGACACTGCCCTGGGCAGCACATAGGTCTGATCTGGGCACACACAACCGGGGGCAGTTCCATAGGCAGCAGTCACAGTGGCCAGGACCCCCAGAAATGAGCACTGCAGCCAAGGGAAGCTGATTTCTGGGTGTATGTCCTTTGGGAACACACACATTTTTGTGACTCCTCACTCAGGGACCCAAGTTCTGAATGACCAGGCTTCTGCCACAAACTCTCCGTGGGACCTTGAACAAATCATTCCTCTTCTCTGACCCTCACTTTCCTTTTTGGTAAAATGAAAGATTACACTAAAGCACAAACCATTTCTGTAGAGGGTCAGAGAGTAAATATTTTGGGCTTTGTGGGTCATACGGTCTCTGTCACAGCTATTCAGCTCTGCCCTTGGAGCTCAGAAGTAATCACAGACAACAGACAACGAATGGGAGTGACTCTATTCCAATAAAAATTTATATTTACAGTAATATACCAGGTGCAGTGACTCAATGCCTTTAATCCCAGCACTTTGGGAGGCCAAGGGGAGAGGATTGCCTGAGCTTAGGAATTCGAGACCAGACTGAGCAACATGGTGAGACCTTGTCTCTACAATAATCAAAAAATGAACTAGGCATAGTGGCATGGGCCTGTAGTCCCAGCTACTCGGAAGACTGAAGTGGAAGGATCTCCTGAGCCCAGGAGGTTGAGGCAGCGGTAGCTGTGATCATGCCACTGTACTCCAGCCTGGGTGACAGAGTGAGACTCTGAATTTAAAAAAAAAAAAATATATATATATATATATATATATATATATATATATAAAGAGAGGGCAGGTCCATGGGCCATGGTTTGCTAACCCCTGGACAAGACCCTGGCCTCTGAAGATCCCTGACTGCTCTGATATTTTGGTGATCCAAGATGCCATAAGGAATGCTGTTCAGGAAGCCTCTGTCTTCCTGAGGTCTTTTTGCCTGAAGGCTGTGTGGCTCCTCATCCCCACCTCATCTCTGTTCCTTTCCCTTCTTCCTGGCACCAGGAGCTGGGAATCATCTTGTGGGGAACTGAGGGACAGAAAGTAAAGTGGGGGCTGAGAATGTATCAACTTAGCAGGGCACCTTTGGGGCAAACCAGCCCACTGGAGTCAAGGTGGGTGGGAGCCTTGGCATTGAGCCTTCATGTGTAACAGTTATCCTGCTCAGCCTAGGCACGTGAGGTGGGAGGCCAGAGACTGGACTAGCAAGTAGGAAAGACATGCACCAGAACAGTCCCCTTCTGCCTTTATAGACTCCTATCCAATAACAGCAATTTCCTAAATGTGCAGGTTTTTGTCATCGTTTTTCAGCTCTTCAGGTACAAGGCAAAGGGGTATGGTGGTTGTTCTCTTTGGAAGGGCATGAATGTCTTCACTTGCAGAAGGCTAAGAAAACCAACAGGGCCAATCCAGGCCTGTCAGGAAACTTCCCTGGGCAGGGACATTGCTGTGAGGACCAAGCGACTTTGCTCGCCCATGATGTCATATGACCACTGGATGGGATACTGGAAACACCACTCAACAGGGTGCTGAGTCTATTCTCAACAGAGCTTCTGTTAAACAAACCAGTACGGCAAGTCTAAGGAAAACGTGTATCTCTGTGGGAAGAGAAAGTCAGGGTGCAAGCAGCAAAAAGGGGGAAGAAACAAGGAGAGAAAATGGGGTCACACAGGGATCCAGAAAGTGAAGAAATGTGCTATGCTGAATTTGAAAGACTAGGAAGCAGAAAACACAATTGTTCACCATAAAACAGTGCTGGAATGTGTGGGGCACATGGGGATGGCAGAATCCGGGTCCAGAAATGGGGCTTGGAAGTAAACCCAGCTGATCAGGCTCAGCCTTGTGGGAGTGGGCACCCCCGGATAGGCCTTGCAACCTACACACGTTGGGTGCTTGTGCAGACTGAAGGTGGAAGGGACAGCAGGTGGCAGATATGCCCAAAGGTTGCTAGACACCTGACTCTGGGAAGAAGACTTTCATCCCATCTGTTTAATTGAAGGAGGAAAAATCCTTTTCGGCATTTGGGAGTGTCTCAGTAAATAGCAGGCTGGGCCAGGCACGGTGGCTCATGCCTGTAGTCCCAGCTGCTCAGGAGGCTGAGGTGGAAAGATTGCCTGAGCACAGGAAGTTGAGGCCGCAGTGAGTTGTGACCATGCCACTGCATTCCAACCAAGAATGAGCCCCTTACTCAAAAACAAACAAACCAAAACAATATCAGGTCTGGAGTTGTGTTGTGCAATGACCCAGTGACAAGCCCTGGGAGTAATTAGTAACCTCAGATTAGGGGGAGAGGGAGCCTGGGCCTCAGTATCCCCCTGGGTAAGTGGGCGGTGTGCAGGGTGGCCATTTCTGTCACTTTTAGCTCTCGTCCTGCACAGCGTTACAAGCCATTACTTGCTGTGAGAAACTGGACCAGATGACCACACGCTAACGGCTGCATGTCTCCGTGCCTCCGCTCTGTCTTTGCAGTGCCGTCGGGGATTTCCAGGTGGATGACAAGACCAAAGCCTTGCTCAAGTACACGGGGGAGGTGACCTGGATCCCCCCGGCCATCTTTAAGAGCTCGTGCAAAATCGACGTGACCTACTTCCCGTTTGATTACCAGAACTGCACCATGAAGTTCGGTTCCTGGTCCTACGACAAGGCGAAGATCGACCTGGTCCTGATCAGCTCGTCCATGAACCTCAAGGACTACTGGGAGAGCGGAGAGTGGGCCATCATCAACGCCCCGGGCTACAAGCACGACATCAAGTACAACTGCTGTGAGGAGATTTACCCCGACATCACGTACTCGCTGTACATCCGGCGCCTGCCCCTCTTCTACACCATCAACCTCATCATCCCCTGCCTCCTCATCTCCTTCCTCACTGTGCTCGTCTTCTACCTGCCCTCTGACTGTGGAGAGAAGGTGACCCTCTGCATCTCCGTCCTCCTCTCCTTGACCGTGTTCCTCCTGGTGATCACCGAGACCATCCCCTCCACCTCACTGGTCATCCCTCTGATCGGAGAGTACCTCCTCTTCACCATGATCTTCGTCACCTTGTCCATCGTCATCACCGTCTTCGTGCTCAACGTGCACTACAGAACCCCGACCACACACACGATGCCTGCGTGGGTGAAGACCGTGTTCTTGAACTTGCTCCCCAGGGTCATGTTCATGACCCGGCCGGCAAGCAACGAGGAGAACGCCCCAAAGCCACGGCCCTTCTACGGAGCTGAGCTCTCAAATCTGAATTGCTTCAACCGCACTGAGTCCAAAGGCTGCAAGGAAGGCTACCCCTGCCAGGATGGGATGTGTGGTTACTGCCACCACCGCAGGATAAAAATCTCTAATTTCAGCGCCAACCTCACGAGAAGCTCCAGTTCTGAATCTGTCGATGCTATGCTATCCCTCTCTGCTCTGTCACCAGAAATCAAAGAAGCAATCCAAAGTGTCAAGTATATTGCTGAAAATATGAAAGCACAAAATGAAGCCAAAGAGGTAAGGAATTGGCTATTAATTGGTCATTCATTCATTCAGCAAACATATATGGGTTCCTTATGGGGCAAGGCATAGAGTGGGAGTTAAGAAATTAGACCCAGCTGGGCATGGTGGCATGTGCCTGCAGTTTCAGCTATTTGGGAGGCTGAGTTGGAAGGATTGCCTGAGCCCAGAGGGTCGAGCCTGTGGTGACTGTGAGCATGCCACTGAACTCCAGTCTGGGCAACAGAGTGAGACCTCGACTCAAAAAAAACAAAAAAAGAAAGAAATTAGACCCTGGAGACAGTGGCCTGTATACAGACCAGTTAAATGTCCTTGGATATGTGACCTCACCTCTCTGAGACTATTTCCTCATCTGTAAAATGAAATGATAAAACGTGCTTTTATGTTATCCTGAAGTTAGCCACTGGGCTGCAGGTAACTGGACCATGAACACATCTGATATCAAGATGGCTGGGTGTGAGGCTGGGGTTGGTGGCTCAGCCTGTAATCCCAGCAGTTTGGGAGGCTGAGGCGAGTGCATTGCCTGAGCCCGAGGGTTCAAGACTAGCAACTTGGTGAGACCTCATCTCTACAATACATCAAAAATTAGCCGGGTGTGTTAGCGCGCACCTGTACTTCTGGCTGTTTGAAAGACTGAGATGGATGGATCACTAGAGTCCAGGGGATTGACACTGGGGTGGCTGTGAGCATGCCACTGTACTCCAGCCTGAGCAATGAAGTGAGACTCCAACTCAAA